TTTTCCAGGTGTGCCCTTGGATATTCTTGAAAGATACATCTCTCATCTTATAGGGATGTTAAGTGGTTAGACTTATTTGGTAAGTTGTGTAAAAACATTGCCAACTAATAAGTGATATAAAATCTTTTGTTTACATTTATGGATATGATATTAACATAAATGTTTCAAAATGTACATAAATTCATAGACATTTAATATATAATTTCTCAAAATTCTGGTTGTTATCTTAAAATACTATATGTATTAGAAATAACTAAATTTTCTTATTATTATTCATCATATTTTAAACTGTGGTTATTCTAAGTCTTTTTTTTGCAGTTTTTTTGGCCGGGGCTGAATTTGAATCTGCCACCTCCAGTATATGGGGCTGGTGCCCTACTCCTTTGAGCCACAGGTGCCGCCTGGTTATTCTAAGTTTTTGTCATCCACAGTTATTATTTTGAGTTCCTCTCTAAAACATCTATGATCAAGTTTATGGAAAAGACCCCAATAAGTACTTGTAAAGTACAAGTTTCTGATAACTTTAGAATCAAGAACTCTCAACCCAGATCTCTAATAAAAAACTGGCAGATCCATTAAGCTGCTAATGGAGATCAAGCAAAATATGTTGATTACATGATATTAAATAATTGATAATGCTTTATGACATTTATTTAAAACATTGTTAGTTCTTTACTTAAATATTTGTTTTCCAAATTTAAGAAAAATTTCTTTCTTAAGCTATTATATAATTTAAAGCAATTTTGTAAAAAAAAACTTTTATAAACAAAAAATGTTATTTTCTTTCTTAATTCCTCCAAACTTTCAAAAACTACTTGCAAATATTCTCATGGCATTGTACTTATTTATAGAAGTTCAATAAAAATTGAAAACATTGATTTATATTACCATTTGACTTAAATGTCAAATTTTAAATACTTCAAGCATTCCTATCCTTATAGTGAAAAGCTACTACTTCTTAGCAGGCCCAGGAATCTTAAGACTATAAGTCAACTGTAAAGTCTGACTTGATTTGGCTTCCTAGCCTCAAGAAGCTTTTATACCTGAGATTTCTACACGATCTATTTCTCTCTCTTCTGTGTGTGTGTGTGTGTGTGTATATATATATATATATATGTATGTGTGTGTGTGTATATGTTATATATATGTTTATGTTTCCAAAGAAAAACTATAATATGCTTGTTATTATATTGTAGTTCTGTACATTGTTTGCCAAATTCCTCTCATTTATCTAATTGAACTTTCTTTATAAAATTACTAAAACTGGAACTGCTCTGTTCTAAAGTCCTAGCAACTAAAACTAGATAATTTTTAAGGAATGAGTCTCATGCTTGATGTATGAGTCACACAGAAAGTTCACCAAACCACCTGATGCCATAAACAAAGACATCCAAACTGCCAACCAAGACAAGAAGTTGACATTTTCTGTTTACAAACAGCTTTTCTTGAGACATTGGAACAAGACTTCCTATCATAACGAGACTCTTACACCCATTAATGCCATCTTTTCCATTTGGCAGAATAATACTATAATTAAATTTCACAATCAATAACTACTGTAAGTAACTTGACAAAAATTTAACTTAAAAAGAAATCATTTCAGTTCATTCGGTAGGAAATATTGACAATATCCCTAACAATTTTTTGTTCAAATTGTACTAGTGGTCCCTTTTGTAAAGTTGGCATTCTCTACTTTAACCTAGTTATGAATTGCTACTCAGTGGCTACAAGTTCACCAGCTATGTCTGGACTCTTTGATCTAATCAGTTGGTTACCTTCACAATTTGGATTATGGCTTAGAACTATCATTCAAACTGGATTCATTTTATATATATACATATATATATATATATATTTTTTTTCTTCGAAAAACAGCCGCAAGCTATGCCCCTGGGTAGAGTGCTGTGACATCACAGCTCACAGCAACCTCCTACTGCTGGGCTCAAGTGAGTCTCCTGCCTCAGCCTCCCAAGTAACTGCGACCACAGGCACCTGCCACAACACCCGGATATTTTTCGGTTGCAGCTGTCATTGTTGTTTTGGCAGGCCTGGGCTGGATTCAAACTCGCCACCTTAGGTGTATGTGGCTGGCACCTTAGCCACTTGAGCTACAGGCACTGAGCTGATTCATTATATTTTTGCTGATTATTTTTTGTACCTTGATTTGTAAGCTTTTTTCTTATTGCCTGGCTAATCTTTATAAAACTCACCTTCCTAACAGGATAATGTTAGTTCAATGCCTCAAAGTGATTGCTGATACCTATAAACTGGTAAGATGGAATTCAATGCTGGATTCCAGACAAAACTGCCCTAAAAACATTTTTTCCTTTTGACCTCTATGTTACTTAAAGATGACTTAAGTCCCTGATGTAGACCACCATACCTTCCCCACAATGTGGAACAGAGACAACTGAGACAGGTCGAATCTGGCACTAAGAGACAACTAATTAATCCTAACTTCAAAACGGTTGGTTAGTGGCGCTTTCAAAGAAAGATTTCTCAAAGGAGAAATGTGAAAGTTGAACATAAGAATTGTGTTATTCTTGTAACACAACTAATACAGGGTCAAGAAGCCAGGAGGAAAAAAACACTCAAGGTACAAAACATTACTCCAAGAACATAATTCTCTGCAAGCTTGAATGCTGAAATTGCTTATTGTAATCTAAAACCAGTTATAGCTTGTGAGATAACTGCAAATCTAGGACTAAGTTTTCCCGCTGTCATAGCTCACTGGTCAGAGCTTACCAGCTCCCCAAAGCCTTTACTGTCAATGAACTTTGAGTAATACACAGTATTTCTCCTTTTTCATAGAGCCTCTAACCACCTCTTTCTTCTTCAGACATACGGAAGACCTCCCCGGTCTGTGTGTATGCCCTGAATTGCAATTCTTTCTTCCCAAATACAACGTTCAATTTAGAGATTCATCTCTACATTTTTATTTTGACTTTGACACAGTTGTATGCATGAGATAGATTCTATTAGCAATCTTCATTTTATAGATGATAAAATTGAGGCCCAGAAAGATTCAGTTGTTTGCCTAAGCTCATAGGACTAAATATGAGCGCCAACACTCAAACTGTAGAAGTCTGGCTGCAGATTATGCTCTTAAACCACTATACTTGGGAAGTAGATAAGCAACAGCCCAGTTTAGCAGTGTTTGAGATATTAAGAATCCCAGTAAAGATGCTGAATGCCCATATGTGAACTTAGAGTTTGGCAGAGAGGTTAGGACTATTGAAATAAATCTGATTATTCTTTTTTTTTTTTTTTTTTTGAGACAGAGTCTCACTTGTCATCCTTGGTAGAGTACTCTAGCATCCTAGCTCACAGCGACCTCAAACTCTTGGGCTCAAGTGATTCCTTCGCTTTAGCCTACAGAGTAGCTGGGACTACAGGCACCCACCACAATGCCTGGCTATTTTTAGAGGCGGGGATCTCCCTCTTGCTCAGGCTAGTCTTGAACCTATGAGCTCAAGCAGTCCATCCACCTCAGCCTACCAGAGTGCTAGGATTATAGGCGTGAGTGACCGCACCCAGCCTAAATCTGATTATTCTAATCATTATAGATGGTGTGTAAAGCCACTTGATTGTATGAAATCACCTTGAGAACATGTGTCAGAAAAGAAAAGCAGATTTCACAAAAAGAAAATGTACTAGTAGTTGCCTGGTGTTGGCATGATAACTGAAATTAGCCATAAATGAGCAAGAGGGACCTTACTGGGATGAAATGTTCTAAGGCTGGATTGTGCTGATTATTGCAGAACTCTGTAAATTCACTAAAATCATCAAAGCACACACTTTCTGCAGTGGAAAGAATCTTTCAGGAAGGAAGTGGTTAGTTGTTTTGAAAGCCCTGAGTGTTTGCTGAAGAAAGATAGAGGCGGGAGTAGCTGCAGGATTTGGGAGAAAGGTCATGTTGACTTTGCTGGGAGCTGTTCCTGGGAGGGCTGGGCATGGAAGCATAATCAGAACTGTCTGGGAAGGAAAGTTGTAGAATAGGAGTGTCCAACCTTTTGACTTCTCTGTGCTACATTAGCATACTTGTTGTCTTGGGCCACACATTAAATACACAAACACTAAAGAAAGCTGATGATCAAAAAAAGTCTGTGATTAATTTTCATGATATCCAATACCACAGGTACACAAAAAAGTCCTCACATAATAACTTTAGGCAGTGGCTCATTAAAAAAGAGTCTTTTCAAATCATCCAGCAGGTCCCGAGTTTGAGATCATTAATATGGAAAATTCACATATCTAAGTAATAAAATATCTTTGTTTTTTTGATTTTTTTAATTATAAAAGTAAAAGAAAAGTGGGCAACATAAAACTAGTGGGACATTTGAAATTGTATTTGAGGAACTCATGCATCAATATCTGGATGGATAGAAGTGGTTTCAATTCTCTGTGAATTCTCAAGGTGCTCATCAGACACTTTGGTTCTAATTTTACTCTTAATGTGCTTCATTCTTGAAAATAGTTGCTTGCAAATGTAGGTGCTGCCAAAAGCAATGACATGAATAAGGCATGCTTGTGAAATGAGTAATATTTATTGCTGGGAAAATATGACCTATGAATGTCCTGTAAAGAGGCGTGATCAAATTTTTAAGTTGAATGACAGATTGCAGCTTTGTGTATTTCCATTTGAAAATTGGCAGGTAACATATATGTAGAATGAATAAGGAGTCACAAATGCACCAAAGTATTATTTTCTCAGAAATATTGAAATCTGTTATTAAATTCTGGTATCAAGTGGAAAAGCAAGGCTGCATATTTTTTGCTATTTATGGAACTGTGTTCAGCCAACATGTTTCCCTTAATCAGAGCTTGCCATAGTTTCGATTTTATTTGGAGCACTGTTGTGGTTTGAAACATTGTATTGATAAGTTTGTTTTCTCCTGGAAGACACATTTAATGAGTGGTTAAATCCACTAAAAATGCTAAATCTGTAAGCCAGTTTTCATTATCACCTTCTTGCACAAATTTGGTTTTTTGTTTGCTTTTTAAATATGGAATGCTTCACGAATTTGTGGGTCATCCTTGCACCGGGGCCATGCTAATCCCCCGTATCGTTCCAATTTTAGTATGTGTGCTGCCGAAGCCAGCACAAATTTGGTTTTTTATATCATGTCACAAATCATGAAATCTTTGCAACATTTGGCTTTGACTTACCTATTTCCCAAAAGTAAATGATGTCACCATAGTCAGCATCAATATGTCTAAGGAATTCCTGGAATTGGCAATGATTCAATCCTTGATCCTTATTAAATTCACAGTCTTGACAATTCACATGACCTTATCCAGTTTTAAAGATTTTGCACATAAATTTTCTTGATGTACCATATATGCAGTGATACTTTATCAAGCCTGAGTTTGGGGTGGTAATTGGCATTGTCCCTGTCTTTTACCTATCATCACTGGGATGCCATCAGCAACTATGCCAGACGTACTGATAATGGACAAAGAAAATAGCTTTAACATATTTTTATTGCTTCCTATGAATCTCTTGATTTAGTTGTGTCTTTTAATGGCACTAAAGAAGCCATTTCTTCAGTGACATGATGTGTCTGTCATCAATACCTCTAATAAAAATGGCAAGTTCAGTCGGATTTGTAGTGTCAGTGCTGTCATTCATCACCAAAGTGTAAAATTTAAAATTAGTAGCTTTACTCTTCAGACTTCTTTCAATGGATTTTAGAATTCCTTCAATTGCCTGACTGTAGTCTGGTGAGAAAAACTGATTTTAGAAATAGCCCCCTTCCCCACTTTGTTCAGGGCAAATTATATCTGCCATGTTCTCCATACTTAACTTAATAAACTCACCATCAGAAAATGGTTTTGGTTCTTTTGGTACTAACTATGTTACCACATAACTAGCTTTTACAATGGAATCTGTCTGAAGAGTTATAATTAAAAACAAAATTTGTTGAGGGTGGCGCCTGTGGCTCAAGGAGTAGGGCGCTGCCCCCATATACCCGGGTGGTGGGTTCAAGCCCAGCCCCGGCCAAAAACTGCAAAAAAAAATTTTTTTTGTTGAGAAGACAGACTTTTTTTTCAGTTCTCCTATTTTGTCCTATGACACCATCCCTCATACGTGTCGAATTTGACAGCGTATTTTTGCATATAATGCCTTTTCAAATGGTAGTCTTTGAAAAATTTGCAGATTCTCTACAAATTATGCAGAGTAGCTTACTATTTATCTATACATCTGTCCACTTTTCATTGCATATTCTTCCTTCCTCTGTAATTATTCTTTTTTTAGGTTCTGTTTAGGTCCTTTGAGATGCTGTAGATACCATGCTGGGATTACAAAAACAATAATAGATAAAGGACTATATATTTTTTATTATGAAAATCAATTGATGAGAAAATAGAAAGTAAGGTTTGGGCCCTTCCACATCTTGGTGCCCAAAGCAGAGCGAGGTGAACAGCCAATTGTAAAGTATGGTGGGCGATGTGTGAGGCACCGCTGGGCTGTGAAACTACCTTTAATAACCAAATAAGAATGTGTATCTGACTTGTAAGTAACATTAAATACCTAATGTTGCAATCATAGATTGAAATATTACTGATAATCATCACCTCACCAAGTCACCATGAGCACACATAACATCTCAAGATGTCAGTTTGACTCTCTGTGCTTGAAAAATAACACGCTAGAAGCTACATACCACCATAAAACTGAAGCCACACTTGCCTACAAATAGTGAGAGCCTGTATCTGTTTATTTTATGTGACATCGTGACATGACATTGTTATCTACAAATTTCACGTTTGAGAACTGCACAATCAAGTTCATGTTTTAAGAAAAAAAATCACACAAAAATCTCATATTTTAAGTAAGTGTACAATTTTGTGTTGGACCATATTCATAGCCATCCTCAGCCACACATGGCCCATGTTTCAAGTTACAAACATCCGATTGGTGTATGACTCACACTTACGAATGGAGGCCACTATAAATAATAGGTAAAGGTAGCTAGTCCACCTTATGTGCAAATTCATTTTGAAAACAAACCTACAGAACCCATCTTGTTCATGGGGACTGCCTATATGTATTAAGTTTGCCTCAGTTTTTTCCTTGATGTTTATATTCCTTTGATCTTTCAATATGTTGAAATTTAAAATTTCTTTTTTTATTTTTTTTTATTAAATCATAACAGTGTACATGAACACATTTATGGGGTACAATGTGCTAATTTGATATACAACGTAGAAAGCTTACATCAAACTTGCTAACATAAACAATACCTCACTTATTTGTTGTGGTAAGACATTTATCTCTTAATAGTTTTAAAATGTACCATTGCATTATGCACAATAGATGAGGTCCCACCAAATACCCTCCCTCCTCCCTGCCTCCCCCTCCCCTCCCCTCTCCCTCCTCTTCCTTCTTTCTTCCAGGACTATAGTTTTGTTTTATCATTCATGTGAAAGTGTAGGTGATTATATATCGGTTTCATAATAGTATTGAGCCTTCCTTCAATGAATCTCTCTTGATCATGTGACATTTTAAAAAATGCATGGCTGGGTCCCTATTTCCATTATTTTATTTTAAATTATTAAGTAGCGCTCATAAAATATTGGCTTGTAGTTTCCATGTTGTTATTTTCAGAATTTCTTATCAGGGTTATTCTGGCTTTTTAAAGACTGTTTGGATGTCCTCCTTTATATTTCTTTCCTCTTTCCTTTGACTATTTGTCTGATTTTGGTTCTTACATGCTGACACTCTTTCAAAGGGTGGTTGATCAAGCAGTCAATTATTTACTTTTATTTACTTGCTAACTATATCAGTACAACCCATTCATTGTGGATTTGTGAAAACAAGAATCTATAAAGAAGAAAATAAGGCTCAGCGCCTGTGGCTCAAGTGGCTAAGGTGCCAGCCACGTACACCTAATGTGGTGGGTTCGAATCTAGCCCGGGCCTGCCAAAACAACAATGACGGCTACAACCAAAAAAATAGCCGGGCGTTGTGGGGGGCACCTATGGTCCCAGCTACTTGGGAGGCTGAGGCAGGAGACTTGCTTGAGCCCAGGAGTTGGAGGTTGCTGTGAGCTGTGATGCCATAGCACTCCACCCAGGGGGATAGCTTGAGGCTCTGTCTTAAAAAAAAAAAAAAAGAAAAGAAAAGAAAAGAAAATTACCCATAATACCACCAAGTGCGTAGAAGATAGTTTCATAAATAATGAATCTAAGACAGTGTTGATTTTAGACAGAGGCTAATTTAAAATGTGAAAAACGTATACATTAGAATCAATGAAATATAGTATATATATGCACACACATATGTACATAATTAGAATCATAAACTTCCATAAAATGCCCTGAATTCTAAGAAAGCATTTTTTTTTACATTCCTAATATTTTTCTGAACATTAGCTAAGTCATATTCCAGGATATTGAATATATTTTAAAGGTTTACTGTTTGCATTTCTCACAATGTAATAATTTCACATTTGTGTTTTTTCTATATTTTTACCTTTTTAAGCATTACTCTGAGATGAACGTCATCATCGTATTTATATATCTTATATAATCTGGAATTATTTCCTTAGGATAGATTCTATAATTGTAGGTACTGCCTCAAAGGTTGTACGTCTTAAGTGCTTCATGTTACTGCAAAATTGTTTTTTAGGGAATGTCTTTCAGTTTATATTTCCATTGGCTAGACATAAAACCCATTTGAAAGTGCACATTTTCACCCTTTAATATTTTTTCTTTCTTCCTTTTTCCCTCCTTCCCCCTTTTCCTTCTTTCACTTCCTTTTTTTTCATCTCTCTCTGTCCTTCTTTCCTTCTTCCTTTCTCTCTTTCTCTCTCTTATTCTTGCTAGTTGATATATAAAAAATGATATATTGTTAGGCATTCATTCACTTATTGGCAAGTATAAAAGATTTATTTTAATTTTCAGGCTTCTCAGCTATAAAAATTTCTTCTTTGGTGAACTGTCTTTTAAGATCATTTGCCTTTTTTTCAGGGTTTAAACAATCATTTGCCTTTTTTTCAGGGTTTAAACAATTGCATATTGGTTGACCTCTTAAAATGTTAAATATTAATTTATTTATTGAAAATGCTTTTTCTAGTTTGCTATTTGTTGTAGATCTGTGGATGGTAATTTTAACATGCTAATGTATTAAATTCTTACATAGTCATTATATCTTTTTTTACTTTCAACTTTTTTTTAACCTTGGGAAATAGTAAATTATTTACCAGAGCTCCAACAAAGCTCACTGGAAGAAGGTTAAACTGAGACAATTACCTGAAAACATTTTTCTAATACAGCATTTATTCAAAGTTTCTTGTTGTCAAACCCAGGAAAAAGGCTTTGTACTATCTCACAACAATCCCAAGTGGTATCTCTAAGACTTGAATAAAGTCAAGTTTGGAAAGGTTAGCAGATTTTCATCAGGCACAGAATATTAAGGGCCAAGTTAAACCCAGAATTTCCTGAATATAAAGCTGATATTTTAAACCATTCTGCCATATCTCTGCTGAAAGATGTGTATGAGCCAAAAGTTCAAAGTAATAACAATTAAAACAATTTTATTTTGGTACTTCAATTGTTAAAAGCAACTTTGTTTTCTATCAGACATATATAGATATAGCAGATATTTATTGAAATCTGAAATATACTAAGCACTGTGGTAGATGCTGGTGATACAGAGAAAAAGAAAGCACATTCATTTTTGGGAAATAGTGCAGAGCAAAACAAGCAAAGTCAGATAAACTAATGATTACCTAATAGATGGTATGCCTAAAGTACTCAGAAAAATGAGGAACTGGCTCTGTGTATGTGCCATGCCCTAACTTCACAGGCACTCTTCCCCTGATCTCTGAAAACTTTTGTCAGTCTTAAGCAAATCTACCCTAGAACTTGAGATTACCTTCCTTAGATGACCACAGCTTTTGTGCTTTGGTCTCAGGCATTTACTTAATACCTTTACATAAACTGCTCCCTCTACTCTCAATATGCACTCACTTTTCTGAGCAATAATCTGCTGCTGAGTGCCCTTTGGACAGGAACAGAGCAGGTGGTTTGGAGCAGAGGATGTTTCTGGGGCTGTCAAATAGACACAAGGTCAACCTATGTTGGTTCCCACGGTCAA